CGGGTCGGAGGAGTGCCATTTCTCCCAACAAGGACAAATGTCTCGGATACTTCCCTCCCGCACCAACGATAAGTCTTTCTTGATGAAAGAGAAGCGGTGACTGTTTATGGTAGTTGCCAGCGAAGTCACCAGACCTGAATCCTATAGAGAACATGTGGGGCGTGCTTGCACGCGCCGTGTATGCAAATGGACGCCAATTTGAGACTAGGGACACTCTGATTGCGACTATCAAGACGTGCTGGGAAGAAATCACGTCTGAGTACATGCTAAAGCTGCTTGGTTCAATGCCTAAGAGGTGCGTAGAGGTGCTAGAGCTTCATGGGGCGAAGACAAAGTACTAGATAGCTGCTAGGACATTCAGGGTTTCGATAAACGCAAGAAAAAACTAGTGGCAGTATACTTACCGCCGTACGTGTTGAAGTTGACATTTCTGCCGATAACATAATGAGTTTTCATTGAAATCGAGTGAACAAACCGCCATTCGCTTCGTCTTGATGTGGGCTTTCTATTAGTTCCAGCGGTTTGCTTGAAGGGGTATTATTGGTTAAAATTTCGCGAAAATACTTGGTGGCAGTATAATTACCGCCCGCACTGTATAAGAATTTTCTTAAATCAAGATTTTTCTTTATCTTAAGTACGGATTTTTCTTCATCTTAAGTACGAATTATCCTTCATTTTAAGTACGAAAGTTTTTTATCTTAAGTTTGAATTTTTTCCTCATCTTATGTTCGATTTTTTCTTCATCTTAAGTACGAATTATAGTACCAGTGGTATTAAAACATGTAATATATAAATACGTTCTCAGCTTAGATTTTTCGGGTTTTGATTTTATTCTTCGTTATTGGAGCTCTACCAAAACCTACACAAACCGATTTTTGCGTCTGACATAGCTGTGACGTATTCGTTGTCACAAATCGGTAGTAAAATGTTAAGACGTTGTTCTTGTCTCCACAAAATGTGTCGACGCAAAATCGTTGTACCTCATTTCTGGTACAGCTATCAGTGTCCAGTCAGTCATGCCCACTTCTAAATACTCCTGCCATGAGCCGCCGCAATGCTGGAAGAGGACGGGGCTTCACTACGCCTCAAGTTGAGCGTACGTACCATAATGCATCACAAACAGGATCTCACGAATACATTTAGCGTTGCTTTTACTATTGCTGGCCTCTTATCTCTCGTTGAGCAGTTCCACGATCTCGACTAGCATACAACGTGTACCAGGGAGACTTAGCAGGATCAATGTGTCAGAACATTGCGATCAAAAGCATACATACAACGCAGCCGTAGAAGCAACAACACCTGCTTCTTTAAACGCGCATTCCGGTGCTCGCACGCTAGCACAAGTCACTGGGCCCTAGCCATCAAAAAGGTGAATGGCCCGCGTACATGTACCCATAACGTTAAAAGTGTTGATTTTGGTATGATAGCAGACATATCACAAATTCGACATATATTTGAACACATTTCACTTTCAAATTTGTGTCTGTGATTGCATTTGTGTAGGTTTTGGAAGAGTTCCATTGGACATGATTTAATAATATATGTGGTGTAGTGATTTCTCCGTAGTTGCGGATTATCACCCGTCGACAAAGACGTGACACCGCCCAAGATGTTCAAGCGACGAATTCTCGGTCAGGTGATGTACGGAGACGCCAAGGTGCCAGCGACTCGACGGCGTCACTCCCGAGCTTTCAACGAAGCATTGGATACGGCCATATGTCACTGAATCCAGGCTGTCCTTATTATTAATAATGGACTGGCCGGATTCGCATTCAGCGGACCATCTACGGTACGAACCCTCAGTGGCTGTTGGGATGAGTTCGCGGAAGACTCAGCGACCATTACAAGACACGTTCACCGTCTGGGACAGGGCGCGGACCGTTAAAGATGCTCATGCGACGGTGCAGACGACGCTTGGCATGCAAGAAGATCCATAACGGATCATTGTTCACGTGATATTTGTATACTTGATTAGGACTTCTTATTAGGAATAGACCCGAGAGGGTAAGCTTAAATACAGAACAGAATTTCTACTCTAGCACACAGCGACGTCCGGCTTCAAGGTAAGCGTCTGGTCAAGCTTGTTTGAGTGTGTTATGCCTGTCGGTGAACTCGAAGCTCTGTAGCGAGGGTTTCACCCGGCAAGGCCAAGAGACTTGTGTATTGGCCGATTATTATCGGGAGGTTTTACGGTGAACGGCTTTATGTTTGCCTATTTGCACGACTGGAAGTTGCTTTAATTGCCTCCCTTTTATTTCTTCCCACCCGAGTGTTGAACACTCGGTGATTCTGTAAAAGAGATAACCCGTGCCTGGTACCCCTTTGGCGGTGTGGGGCACCGAGAGGATCCAAAACACCTGCTAGTTTTGCTCGTGCTAGTAGCGTGGTCTTATTTTTACTGGGTGGCCTATATAAGTAGTTTACAAGGTCCAGTTTGTCCCGGTGCAAGGGCAGAACTGGGGTCTTCAGGTCCGCCCGAACGATCGTTTACTATCCTAGTAGACGTATTGTTGTGGGAACATCCTAACTACGTTTGTAGCTAGAGTTCACGTGGGATTTCCAACACCACAACATATATATCTTGTCCTCCAAAGAAAACTAAAATCAAAAACCGAAAAATCGAAGCCCTGACTGGTTGGATTTTAATATAAATCGTGTCCTCCAAAGAAGAATTAAATCAAAAACCGAAAAATCCAAATCGATTCTGATCAAATTAGATGACATAATATTATTAGCACCCATGGACACGAGGCTACCCAGTACCCTTTTGCACTCAAGTTCACCTCAAGCTACTGTATCCTCTAATTTGATCAGAATCGATTTAGTACTATCAATAGTACTACTATCCTACTTCCGATTGCGCTCTCGAGCGCCGTGTCATATTGCTGTCATTCGACAATTCTCCATGGCTGAAAGTTTCACCGTTCAAGACCACTTCGTGGAGCTGGGATACACCATCGATGATTCCACCAAGGGCCCGATATCCCACCAATGCCGCGGGTGCGGAAAAAAGTATCGCCTGATCGACATTTTTCGTAAGAAAAAAAAACAAGCCTCAGCAAGTCGAGGGCGAGGAAGCACTACAAGGTGTGCAAGGGCAGGAAAACGTCGAAGGTCAAGGAACCCTCTAAGTCCAAGAACCCGCGTTTCCAGGACCATACATTTTCTTCGAAAGTGAAGTGTGTGACGAATTAATGAGGGTAGCCTAGTTTTATTAAAAACAATAATAAAACAACTACATCCTTGACAACACCCGATGGCAGCCGTTGCCAAGCCATAAGGGTTTATAGTTTAGGGTTTAGTATAGAGGTTCCTGAAAAAAAAACTAGCCTAACAAGTGCACCTGAAATTTCGCACACATATGTCAAAAGATATAAATATTCTGCTCACGAAGTTTTAAATCCAACGGGCACCGGCAAGTATACAAAAACTAAAAAAAATACCGATACAGAGAAAACAAGCATATTAACATATGATTTTTCCAACGGATATATAAACAGCGGTGTCGGTTAAGGAGGGCTATGTTACGGTCCAGTGTCTAAAAAAGGGGCAGAACAGCCTTAGACTGAGCAATGTATTGAACTCATATTATGTACGATTTTTTCTTCATCTTAGATACGATTTTTCCTATATATTTTAGGTTCAAGTTTTTTCTTCATCCTATGTACGAATGGCCTTCATCTTAAGTACGATTTTAAAAAATAAGTCCGATTAATATATATCTATAGTACCAATTTATTATTATCTTAAGTACGATTTTAATTTTAATTTAAGAATGATTTTTTATTATCGTACATACAATTTTTTATTCTAAGTACG